AAAAGAAGCTTTTTCGGACTCACCCTGAAACCTTTTTCAACAATTCTAAGGTATTCACTTTTCTGTCAGCATATAAAAGTATTTATCTTTTGACCACACCCTTCAAAAGTGAGACACGCCCTTATTAGTCGGCATAAAGCATGAAGCAAAGCAATTTTTTTGGCTTCGCCCCTGTGAGACTGTACAACAGTATCCTTCGTTAAAAAGATAAAAAATGTAGTTTTGGTTTGTCTCATGTTTTGTTGCACTGTATGGTATAGCAAATATGGTATGTAGATCTTGTGAAGAATTTTGACAATTTACAAGTCGTGTGTGTGTGCAGGTGATGGAGATCAACTTTGTCACAAATTTGGGGAAAGAATTATGTGTTTGACCAAAGATACTAGGTGGACTATTAAACAAAAAGATTGAAGGTAATGGATTTGCACAAAGATATCATGTCTGACAATAAAGGAAGATATTTAATTTTTTTCTCTCTGCATTATTGTTCTTTGTCAAATCCTATTAATCCTTACAAGTTTAAGTTGTCCCGATTTATCTCGATTAGTTTTTCAAGGTCCTATTTGCCATAAAAACAGATCAGGACAGCATTGCTCCAATGTGATGACAGAAGGAGAACTTCTTTCTAAATCCTTGCGCTGATCTCTAAATGCATCGTACTCAATAGATTCTGCTTTTTGCCAATGACAAGGGAGAGCAGAGCAGAAATTGCACTATCGTCTTCATCAAGAAACATTTTGCCACCAGCCAATACACGGGTAAGATTGCCGATGGTAAAAAGAACGATCCAACAGATATTTGGATGACTCCCCACAGGCAGATGTTACTTTTAGATGTTCTTTACCAATAGGTGTTACTTTTAAAGCCTGGTTTTCATATGATCGCTGGGGATCTTCGTGTCCCGTTTCTACGAACAGCACGTGGCCAAAAATGCTTTTCTTTTAGAGGGACAAAACTATGGAATGGCCTGGACGCAAAATCCAAATTAACAAAAAATTTCAAGCAAGTAATGCTATCTTAAAAAATCAAGAACATAAAGGGACTCTTTTTATTCCTGGCGCTAGTTCCAGTATTTTAAATGCTTTTACTTTGTTACTCTACTCTGTATATTTTTGTTACTCTGTAGCACGAAAAAGAGGTTGTGACGTACGCATAATAACAATCATCTCAATAATGACGTGTGGCTTTGTGTTATCTTCAAAGTGAATTTGAGGCATTCCAAACTCTGGGACACTTTCATCTCGCTCTATTGTGTTAGAAGCGTTCTGGTTATGGCTAGACTAGTGGCAACAACCAGGCTCATCACCATCACTCTCAATTCCTTCTGGATCGTAGGACTCTTCAATTTCGTCTATTTCATAATCAAAATCATCTAAATCATTCTTAGAGGAAAAATCCACGGAAAAAGAATCACTTGAACAACTTTCATCAGACTTGTAGTCAGTTTCCATAATTAAACGATCCTAAGCGAACAATTGGGGAATATAAAGCATATTTTGCATAAGTGATTGATATGCTTACGCCAAAACCAATTATTTGCGAAAATCCCGTCATTTACAGGAAGGCTTTGCCCAGGGCCTATATCTACAAAGTATATTTCTTTACATGTTATGGCTGTTCAATATGAGTGACAAACAGACGTACAGATTTTCCCACTGGCAAATAAATCATCTATATATAAGACTGAATTGCAAGTGAATTAACAATCGCAAAAATATATTTAAAAGCACCAAAAGAAGAGCATTTTGACAGTTTCATGGCATGTACAGAAATTCTGTAAGAAGTTGAGTTGATATCAACAGGTGGCAACCATAACAGTGAAAAACAGACGTATAGATTTATCGCCTGGCAAATAGATCGTTTACATATAAGAACAATTTTTGAGTTAAGTAATAATCGCAAAAAGATATTTGAAATCATCGAAAGAAAGAGCATTTTAACGGTGTCAAGGCATATACAGAAATTCTGTAAGAAATTTGAGGTATTATAATAACTTATAATTCATGGGTTTTTTGAAAGAATTCAAATTTTTCTGTAATAACTCGTATCTGCCCCTGTTAACTGGTTCTTCACCGTCATGACAAAAACCCCATTTGTTACACTTTAGTCAATATATCTCGATATCCAATCTCATCTCATGCTTGACACTTTTGTCAGAAAGTTTGCTAGGCCTTGCTAATGATACATTTCCTCAAGTCCAATGAACTGAAGAGAGGGTCTCCTATAGACGCCTCAGAGATACACAGATCCCTCTGATTCACGCAGTAGAGATCTGTTTCATGGCAAAATTCGATCCAGTTGCTTGCTAATGGAGTTGCCTGTAAGCAATTTGTCTCTGGTTCATTTCTTATATCCACAGGTATATAACCTGCAGCAACAATGCCAGATCTGAAAAAGAAATGAGGAAGTTAAAGACCATTTGTACCATTCATAGGTTCGTTGGATCTGGTGGAAATTAGAAAATATAATTGTGAAATAACTCGAATTTATCTTTGCATGAAAAAAACAAATAGAAGCTAGGAAATTCATGTCTCTATTAGACCACCAAGCTTCAATACATCTCAAACTTTCATCGTAATTTGCCTTTCTTGTGGATGTCAAAGCATCCAGCTATAAAGGTTAGAAATGGTGTTCTACTGTTGTAAACCATTTAAGCTGAATTGTTTGGATTTGGTTAGGGGTTTTCGATCGGTTTTGAAAATTATCCGTGCATTGCGGGGCTGTTTAAATTTAATTCCCACAGAGGCAAAGGGTTCATGCCCAAAGAAATCAACATAGCCCTTGTCTTTACTTTGATGACTTTTTTATTATGCTTTGGTGGAGCTCTGCCATGTATTGACCCAGGGGCTGATCCAAAGCAAGTTTGAAGGGGGGGGGCAGTCAGTATTGGGGGCGCTGAAAGATTTTCAAAAATTGATGACAAGAGTACGCTAAATACAGCAATTCTTGATCCATTTTCAGAATAAACAACATAACTTTGAGGTAATCCTTGAAGAAAATTAACCTATCGGTCTCAGAAACTTCTTCACCTGATTCCCATTCTTCAAAAGGGGCGCACAATTTCCAAAAAAGAGGCGCTGGACTTGCTTCAACTCGTCGAGGGAGGTGCAACTGCCCCTAGGTGCCCCTCTTCAATCAGGCACTGTACTGGCCAAAGAACTCACTTGCTCACTGTGACACGAAACATCATTCCAAGTTGTGTTGGACTGTAGAACGATGCCATTTCACTTTTGTACTTTTCCACATCTTCTTTATTTGGAATTCTTCCGCTAATAAATTCTGCGAATAATATTCTAGTATGTTTTGGGAAAAGAAAGTTCCCAAGACTATACTCTGCCAATCCTGCATCACCATGACATTCGTGCCCCTGGAAAGTGAGTAAATGCTGCAAAGACATTTTTAGTTCTATTGTACTTAGCCTGCTATTCCTTTATAACAAGTTAGTACATGACAATGCAAAAATAGACAAAAAAACAATACATTTCTGCAATTTTTAAATTTTTGAATCAGAAAGAGTGATGTCTATCTGGTTGCTGATTCCTAGATGTACATAATTTTGATCCCATCCCAACTGAGATGCTCGGTTGCAGTTTTGGTAACTGCAGGAAAACTTCATCAAAGAGGTTATTTGCTTATATTGCTCCCATTGACCGAGGCTTATTGGTCTGCCAAATAAAAGTCTTGATTAAAAGAGCGAGATTCTCTGGCTTTTCTTTGTTTTCCGAAATTTTCTAGCTTATCGTAACATCACTTTGAATTGAATCTGGCACTTCGTTGCGTATGGTTTCGATACGTAAAAAATAAGTCGAGTTTCTTTTGCCGAGGAATTAGTAATAGCATTTCCTGTGTTTAGCCTTTTCCTGCTCTGATAGTTCGCTATTTTTTAACATTGACCCT